CCTGGACACCCCCTGTGGACCTTTGGCCCTGCGTGGACTCAAGGCCTGGGTGGACTCTTCCTCCAACGCGGCAGAGCTCCTGATCAGCCGGGCTGTGATGGAACGGCTGGGTTTCTCTGAAGACGAGTTGCTCAGCCACGCCTTTGCCAAGCAAGAAGTCTGGGATTTCAGCGACGTGGACAAGCCGTCTGCGATGGCAAGTGTCAGCCGCCTAACTCAAGTGGCCACCTCCAGCGACGAGTGCGGTGATGACGGTATGCACTGTGCCACCCCCAACATCCAAGTCCCATCTGCGGAAGACGCAGAAGGCGAGCGGAACAGGCGGTGAGCGGTGGTTGAAGCGGTGATTCAAGACAAGCTCCGCGCCGCCGAAGACGAAGGCTTGACCGCGGGCCTCCTCGAGAAGCTGCGACTCCTCCTGGCCAAGCACGGTGATGTATTCCGTCTGGAGATCGTCCATGACGAGCCGATCAAGGTGGAGTCACTGCGAGTGCGCATCAAGCCTGGCGCCGTCCCTGTCAAGTGTGGCCTGCGACGATACCCCCCAGTGCATGTGGAGTTCCTCACGACACATGTGCGCGAGCTCGAAGCAGCTGGCCTGGTGTATCGAAACAACCGCGCAACATGGGCCTCGGCGCCGCGCATCGTCCCCAAGAAAGACCCTGGCGACTTGCGCATGACTATCGACAGCCGGCCCATCAACGCGTGCACGGAGTCTATGCCATGGCCTATGCCGAACCTTGACGCCGCTCTGACTGTCTTAGTGGGCGCGCGGGCGTTTTTCACCCTCGACTGGTTCAAGGGCTACTGGCAGCTGGCGCTCCATGAAGACTCCCAAATGTTCTACTCCTTCATGACCCCCTTTGGAGTGTACACGCCCACAAGAGTGCTTATGGGCCAGACCGACGCGGTGGCGTTCTGCCAGTCGGCGGTGGACTTCATGTTTGCCGACCTATGGTTCAAGGGACTCCTAGCCTGGCTCGACGACATGCTTGGCTACGCCGAAACCCCTGAAGACCTCCTCGACCTCCTCGACCAAGTCCTCACGATCTGCTCCTCCTTCAGCCTGAAGCTCAACCCGAAGAAATGCGATTTCTTCCTGACCAAGGCCGTCTGGTGCGGCAAAGTCGTTTCAACTGAAGGCGTCCAGCACTCCCCCACAAGAATCCAAGGACTGTGTGCACTCGCGCCGCCCGCCACGGCCGCCGACCTCCAACAGTTCGTGTGCGCAACCAACTGGATGCGGTCCAGCATCCCCTCCGCCAACTCCTCGACGCAGCGACCAAGCAAATTGGAAGTGCGAAGAAGACGAAGCTCATCCGCGTCCAACTCACTGCCGTTGGCTGGGACGTTGGCCATCTGGCCTGTTTCGACAAGATCAAGGAAGCTCTTGTGGCGATGGTTCCCATGGCGCACCCACGGGCAGACATGATGGTCTGCCTTTACACCGACGCAAGTGAAGGCTTTTGGGGCGCGATCGTCACTCAAGTACCATTTGAAGGTCTGGCCCTGCCGTCGGAAGAGCAGCGCCACCAGCCGTTGGCCTTTCTCAGCGATGCCTTTGCTGGCGCAAGCGAGCGTTGGACAATCGTGGAGAAGGAAGCGTTTGCCGTTGTGGAAAGCTGCAAGCGGCTGGACTACCTTCTTATCCGCCCAGCTGGCTTCCGCCTTTTCACCGACCACAAGAACCTGCAGTACATTTTCAATCCTGCCGGCCAGTCCCCAAGCATGGCG